GATAATATAACAAATTTATGAATTTGTAGTCTCTGTCTGTCTGTCTGGATTCAACATAGAACTTGGCACCGAAGTGCACCAGTTCGAGTTGCCACGTTCCAAATAGCACACAAAGGTAGACAAGAAGATGAGTGAAGAGAATCAATAGAGTTTGACAAGTATAAGAGTGAAACAGAATGGGTAATGGTAGAAAGGAATATGAAAGATTACAGAGACTGAATACATCTGCGCTGGCCATTGACAACGATTTTGAGCCATGTCACCTATTGTCTCCAGCCATTGATTCCTAGAGTCCCGAGGGCCCCAACCCGGAAGTCTGCATCTCCCTACCTGACTCAGTTTAACTGTCAAGGATTTCATGGATTGATGAGGCCATGTTTTTGTTTGGCCACCACTGGCTCTTTTCCAACCTGCACCTATATCAGCTAGCAATGCCCGTCGGGGGAGGCGGTGGTTAGGCATGCGCACCACGTGACCTAGCCATCTTAGTCTATGTAACTTTATAGCCTCGTCGATTGATTTTCCCTCTTTGCCCAACACTCTACGCCTAACGTCAACATTACTTACCTTATTAAACCACCTAACGTGAGACAGAGATCGCAGACATCTATGATCGAAAGCAGTCAACCTTTTCATGTCTTCAACGCGTATTGGCCATGTTTCAGAGCCATAGAGAAGGACGGAGCGAACTGATGAGCAGTACACACGTCCCTTGGTTGATAACCGGATGTCACGCCTACGCCAGAGATGGTGTAAGTCAGCGAAAGCAGCTCGAGCTTTTCGGATCCGTGCTGAGATTTCATCGCCAATCAGTCCGTTGGTGCTAATACAACTTCCCAAATAGGTGAAGTGGTCAACATGTTCTATCACTTCACTCCCTATCACTAAGTTAGGAGTTGACGTAGTCCAGTCCTGTAGCAGCATCTTACATTTTTAGGGGCGAATCGCATGCCAAACATACGAAGATTGCTGCTCAAGGTGTTCAGAAGACTCTGCATTTTGTCAGCATCCTCCCCTAACAGGACTATGTCATCTGCATATTCTAAGTCCATAAGACTATTCCCTGGTAACAAGTCGATTCCTAAGTTGTTACGTTCAGTTAAGGATACTTCCATTAGCATATCTATGATGAAGTTAAACAGAAATGGGGAAAGTGGACATCCCTGTCGGACACCACTGGTTGTTACCAATTCAGATGACAATTCCCCATAAGCCCTTACACGACTACGTGAGTTTGAATAGAGTGCCTTGATTAGTGCAATGTACTTTCTTGGCACTCCCTTCACAGTCAGACATTGCCATAGTACCTTTCGATCCACGGAGTCGAAGGCCGCCTTCAAGTCAAGAAATATGACAATTGTTGGACGCCGAAAAGTGTGTCTATGTTCTAGAATCTGTCGAAGAGTGAAGATATGATCTATGCACCCTCTACCTGGTCTAAAGCCTGCTTGATTTTCCCTTGTCTGTTCCTCCCGAGTTCTGCTTAGTCTATGCATGATTACTGAGCCTAGGATTTTAGAGACTATGTTCGTTAGGCTGATCCCCCTATGATTATCACACGAGGACTTGTTTCCCTTCTTGAATATCGGTATAATAAGTGACTTACCCCAGTCTGATGGACTGTCTCTGATTCCCAGACTTTGCCTAGTACCTCAGTTAATCTACAAACTAGTATGTCACCCCCATATTTAAACACCTCCGGAATAATTCCGTCGGGTCCTGCCGCTTTGCCTCGTTTCAAATTACTGATAGCTTTTGTGACCTCACTTACAGACGGCGGACCAGTGTCTATATCCCATTCGGGTGTGTGGATGTGGGGAGGTTCAGTGTGGCTGTAGGCAAGTTAAATTGTCCTCAAAGTGTTCTTTCCAGCGTTCAAGGCGTCTATCCTGAGAGCTAATTAAGGAGCCATTTTTCTCAGAAATAGTCTCACTTATGATTTGCCTTCTCCCACCCGTTTCTGATGAGTCTAAAGAGTTGCCTAGTGTTGCCTATCGCCGATGCTTTTTCCATCTCTTTTGCCTTTGTCACCCACCACTGTTCACGGTCCTTGCGGAGACTTTTAGTAAGTTTCCTTTTGTGCAGCTTTCGCTCCTCATTGAATTCGGAGCTCGCCGGAATAAGTCTTCTAGCATCTATCAGTTCGGATGAGGCAGTCGAAATCCAGTGGTTTTTACTCACCTTTGGATTTGCCTTATTCACAGCTTTTACAGCTGTATCTATAGCTGACTGAATATTCTTCCAGGCTTCTCCAGGGTGAGCACAGCTGTCGAATTCAGATATGCGTTTAGCTAGTTCTTCCTCAAATAGGGATTTAGTTTCCTGATCGAGCTGGGGACGTGATGGTTTTACCGCCAGCTGTTTCCTACGTCCGTTCAGTCGTAAGCACACACGAGCCCGGACCAGTGCGTGATCGGTATCTACACACGTGTTCCAGAAGGAGCGACAATCTCCTACCGACCCACGCCAACGATAGCTTATTGCTATGTGGTCTATTTGTGTCCAGCGTTGGTTTGATGATGGGGGTCGCCAGGTTAAACAGTGTCTCTCCTTGTGTTTAAAGTTAGTGCTTACAAGAAACAAATGATTATCTGAACAGAACTGTAGGAGACGGTCACCGTTGTCGGTTCGCTGGCACGGAACTCCATAGGTGCCACCGACATCCTTCTCAGATTGACACAATTTCCCTACTTGAGCATTAAAGTCACCAGCTAGAACGACTATATCTGAGCGTTTAGCCTTTCTCACCAAACTAGACAGCTTTTGGTAGAACTCCTCTTTCGTTTCATCCGAACTGCAGTCAGTCTCTACTGAAGGTCAGCCAGGGCAGTAGTAGTAGGGGCTAGCTGGCTGTACTTGCTTCTTCTCCACACAGAGGACTGGTTGTTTGAGGCGAATTGCAATAGCCTCTGCTGTTTGGAGCATGCGGTACTCCGATGATGATTTCGGCAATTTATTAGGCACCCGGTAGATGATGATAGAGAAGGATTCTTCCACTCTGGCTGGCTGGCTGGCTGGCTTTGTGGCCGGCCGGTCTGCACCAAATGGTCCAATATCGAACTGTTCATGATGGTTTTCACTACACCTTTACTTAGCTATAATGGGATGGGAGATGTTCTCGAGCGAGTGAGCACGAAAAATCAAGTTCCTAGAGCAAACAATGGCCGATATAACTCGCTCCAACACAAGTACAGTTGAATTGGTGGATACAATTTGAAGTGACCAGCTAGTCTAGGTACTTCATCTTTCAGTCGAGGTAGTACCATCGGTCGTGTAGAGGATAATACGTGTAGTTCGCCGCCAGCATTGGAAGTTCTTTGAACTAATTTTCTTAATTTCTTCGTAATTATCTCACTTGGTTTGTTGATCGCCCTTGAATTGCAGTTGTATATAAAGAGGGTTTTCGTTTTGGGATAATGAGTAGTGCTTTTCCGCTTTCTTTGTCATGTGTTTCTTGATAAATTTTTCGGGATAGCTATTTTCGATGAAAGTATCATATAGATTGCTGAATTCATCTTCAATTACTCCTTCCGATCATATAGCTGTAAATCTGTGACCGAGTGAGGGTGTTTACTAAATTTCTTTTGTACTGGAGAGGAAGTAAGTTGTAAAAATGTGTATATTGTCCTGTCCAAGTACTTACTTTTCGTATGCAAATTTCTTTTTGTGCCTACCATCTGGTTTTCTTGTAAGGAGGACCGGGATCCAGGAAGGCAATTCATTCTGTTTTGGGATTGTTCTTCGCATGTGAATTTCATAGCTGAATGTACTTCATTGAATTCGGTAATTATTGTACTCCAATCCGAATCATTATCACAAAGAATGAAAGTGTCATCCATATATCGGCAATAAAATAAGAGCCTACTGATAAGGTTGTTCAAAGATCCATTTTCTAGCTTATTCAAAAAGAAATCATCCAGAATGGGACCCAATGGGGAGCCCATCGCCACCCGTCTACTTTCCTGTGACGCGTGCCGACAAATTCGAAGTTTACATCCATGGTACATCTTAATATCAATCCTTTTATGATTTCAGTATGGATGCGAATGTTTATCGACTGCTTTACCACTTGTTCACATATGTAATTAACTGTTTCTAGTATAGGTACATTTGTGAATAACGATGTTATATCGAAAGATATCATGGTTTTGTCCTTGATATTAATATCTATGATTTTATCTACGAATTCAAATACATCTTTGACCTTGTATTTCACTATCTTATGATGCAAAGGTTTGAGAATATTTACTTTCTAGCTAGAGCATGGTTAGGCGAATTGTGCATATCAAGTATTGGTCTTAACGGTGCCCTGGTTTATGCACTTTAGGTAGGCCATACAATATTGGCGTGTATGTGCCCGTTGGTCTGACTTCTGCATATATACTTGCAGAGAATATCTGCTCCTCTCTTAGTTTCTTCAAACGTCTGGTTAATTCATTCTCTATTTTGTTACTGAGATCTTTGTTCTCCTCAAGTTTTTGAAACTTCTGTGTGTCCTTCAATATATCATTCATCTTTGTAATATATCCACCATTTCTATCAAGGAGGACTACTCTTGATCCTTTATCCGGCTTTGTGATTATCAGTCTCTCATCATTTATCAGTATTTTTTAGTTATTCTGTGTGCTGCTTTGTCAAGAAACGTTTACTGTCGTATTTGAGGTTTTTGTACTGATAACAACAATCCACTAGACTGGATTTGAAGCGTTCTAGTTCCAGGGTGGATGATGGACTGGATCTTGTGTTTTACTAATGAGGTTTTCAAATTCAATATCAGTATCTAAGTGATTAACTCATTTCGGTCTATCACAAAATCGAAGGCGAAGGCCATATTTGTACCAAAATTGCTGTCTGGAATCAAACTATTACTATTTTAATTGTACGTTAGTTAGTCCATTCAATTGAGTCAGCGATTCGATTCATATTTAAACTTCTCAGAATATTCTTCAACATACGTGTGTGTGTATATATATAAAAATCATTTTTTTTGCTTTCAATAGATTTCATCAATCAAAAATTGTACCATTGTCTAATCAGCGTTTCATTGAGCGTATATCACGTACACCCCTACAGAACTTATACCCTCTACTCATCTGCCAAGACTTCAAGATAAATTCTGCAGAGAAATATGTGAATATTTGCTCTACTACAATCTACTCTGATAACCAGGATATTATTATGTCTGACTATTCCTCAAAGTCTACAATCTATTTATCGACAGTCAGCGAGAAAAGTTCCATTTTTCGAAATTTGAACAAGAATCATACAGATTTTATGGATTTACTATCTAGCAAGAATCTAACCTGTTGTAATCTTGGTTTGAATAACTGGTGTATGTCATTAACAAGGGAGGATTATGAAGCCAAAATTAACTCGTGTATTTCTCAACAACCACTGTCTGTGAGAGAAGCAGATGTTGACTATCAAATTTATCGGACACGTCTGTTTATACGCCTACTGAATGGTTTACCAGCGACGAAACGATACCTACGTTTAGAAGCACGTAAAGATATTCCACCGTTTCTACGTTGGAAGGTAAGCTTGTTTTTTTTTTTCACCCCACCCTTCACTTTTGACATTATCTCATAAGAGTAAATAAACTTGAAATGTAATAATCATTTTATTGTATTTATTGTTATTTTTCCCATGGGTTCGGAGTGGAACATACAGACGGCTTCAACAACACATGTCCACTTTCAAGTGTTGGATTGTAGGGATTTGGTTGATTGGCTACAGGATTTCATCATGAGCTGACATTGTTTAGAGAACCATTGGAAAACCAGCCAAGTAGTACTAGACAGCTGTTCTCCCCCGTCCTATTTTGGTACTCTTCAGCAGTACACACTCACTCGATCCAATGACTATCCCATGAATTCTAACTTCTTCCAATTCATGATATACCGCAACCGCTAGCCAATGTCTTCTGTGAGTATTTGTCCTCACACCCGACCTGCTGCACCCTACTGGTCACGACTTCCCACTAAAACCCATCCAGGTAACTACCAACCTGAATATATGGCCAGTCACCAGTGAGCATCTCATTGATATTCAAGTATTGGTTTGTAAGAATTTGGTTGATTGGTTTACAGGATTTCATCATTAGGCCATAGGATTGGGTCCTAGTGGCTTAATGGTCTACGAGCTAGCTCGCCTTGTAACCAGGAGGTGCTGGGTTCGAACCGCATTCGGTTGAGTGCGTACTGCTGAATAGTCGGTCCCAAACTAGGACGAAACAGCTGTCCAGTACTCCCTGTAGGTTTTCCAATGGTTCTCTAACCAATGTCGACTCATGATGAAATCCTGTAAACGTGTCCACTTTATTCTATTGTCTGCCGCCGTCCTATTCAGCTGCCTGACCCCACAATTCCCCATAATCTCTCACACCATCTCCTCCATGTCACAATAGCACCGACCACTCACTCGAGCGATAGCCTGCATTGTGCGCGATTTCATACGACGACCTGCTTCTTCAGCGTATGCCCGATCAACCCATCTCCATTTTCTCCTACATATTTTTTTGACTCTTGGTTGGTTTGTTCATTGGCGGAGAGTTTCTTGTCGCTAATTCTTTCTGGTCGACCGGCTGGCTGACTGGTTATTTGATCTTCAGTATGGAACCAGTCAGCCATCGAAGGTGCACCAGCTGTGTGTATAAGAGTTTGAAGTGGCCTGTTGGAAATAATTTACGTGACGCACGCACACACAGTGCAAGTAACTAACTTGCTCACCACCCCTGTGTGCTAAACCTACCACCTACACCATCTAGCAGAACTCAGACACCTGTGATCAAACATAGCTAGCCTGGTTTTTCCTATCTTCCACTTTCAATGGTCATGTCTGACAGCAGGCCCGTAAAGGAGGAAAGAGCGAACTGGTGAGTAGTCAGCCAACCAGTCGAATTTCACATCTGTTAAGCGGACTGGAAAACGTCAAGAAGCCTTATGTATCTGTGTGCTTGGATTTCGTCAACCCGATCAACCCGTTGGCTTTGTCTGATGCAACTCCACAAAGAAGTGAAGCGGTCAACATGCCCTACAACTTCATTTCCTATCATTAAGCTAAGAGTCAATGTAATCCAGTCCAGTCCTGTAGCCTTATCACCTTACATATGACAACAGCAGCAGCAGGAGCGAGTCCCTCGCATTCCAAAACATTCAGACATTGCTGCTCACTTTTGACATGTCAGATGACTCTCTCTCTCTCTCTCCCTGTTTCTAGTTTAAATTCAGCTTGAAAATTTATTGTATATCTTCATTATAGATAAGATTTTATTTTGATATATCACACAGTGTTGTCCCATCAGACTGGGGTAAGTCACTTATTATACCGATACTCAAGAAGGGAAACAAGTCCTCGTGTGATAATCATAGGGGGATCAGCCTAACGAACATAGTCTCTAAAATCCTAGGCTCAGTAATCATGCACAGAGACTAAGCAGAACTCGGGAGGAACAGACGAGGGAAAATCAAGCAGGCTTTAGACCAGGTAGAGGGTGCATAGATCATATCTTCACTCTTCGACAGATTCTAGGACATAGACACACTTTTCGGCGTCCAACAATTGCCATATTTCTTGACTTGAAGGCGGCCTTCGACTCCGTGGATTGAAAGGTACTATGGCAATGTCTGACTGTGAAGGAAGTGCCAAGAAAGTACATTGCACTAATCAGGGCACTCTATTCAAACTCATATAACTGTGTAAGGACTTATGGGGAATTGTCATCTGAATTGGTAACAACCAGTGGCGTCCTACAAAGATGTCCACTTTCCCCATTTCTGTTTAACTTCATCATAGATATGCTAATGGAAGTATCCTTAACTGAACTTAACAACTTAGGAATCGACTTGTTACCAGGGAATAGTCTTATGGACTTAGAATATGCAGATGACATAGTCCTGTTAGGGGAGGATGCTGACAAAATCCAGCAGAGTATTCTGAACACCTTGAGCAGCAATCTTCATATGTTTGGCATGCGATTCGCCCCTACAAAATGTAAGATGCTGCTATACACGACTGGACTACGTCAACTCCTAGCTTAGTGATAGGGAGTGAAGTGATAGAACATGTTGATCACTTCACGTATTTGGGAAGTTGTATTAGCACCAACGGACTGATTGGCGATGAAATCTCAGCACGGATCCAGAAAGCTCGAGCTGATTTCGCTGACTTACACCATCTCTGGCGTAGGCGTGACATCCAGCTGGCTATCAACCAAGGGACGTGTGTACTGCTCAGCAGTTCGCTCCATCCTTCTCTATGGCTCTGAAACATGGCCAATACGCGTTGAAGACATGAAAAGGTTGACTGCTTTCGATCATAGATGTCTGCGATCTCTGTCTCACGTTAGGTGGTTTCACAAGATAAGTAATGTTGGTGTTAGGCGTAGAGTGTTGGGCAAAGAGGGAAAATCAATCGACGAGGCTATAAAGTTACATAGACTAAGATGGCTAGGTCACGTGCTGCGCATGCTTAACCACCGCCTCCCCCGTCGGGCTTTGCTAGCTGATGATATAGGTGCAGGTTGGAAAAGAGTAAGTGGTGGCCAAACAAAAACATGGCGTCATCAATCCATGAAATCCTTGACAGTTAAACTGAGTCAGGTAGGTAGTGAGATGCAGACTTCCGGGTTGGGGCCCTCTGGACTGACTCTAGGAATCAATGGCTGGAGACAATAGGTGACATGGCTCAAAATCGTTGTCAATGGCCAGCGCAGATGTATTCAATCTCTGTAATCTTTCATATTCCTTTGTACCACTACCCATTCTGTTTCGCTCTTATACTTGTCAAACTATTGATTCTCTTCACTCATCTTCTTGTCTACCTCTGTGTGCTATTTGGAACGTGGCCGCTCGAACTGGTGCACTTTGGTGCCAAGTTCTATGTTGAATCCAGACAGACAGACAGACAGTGTTATACAGTAATATTAACTGATGACCACGTTTCGAGCACAAATTATTGCCACTCATAATCATATAAAGTTAGTTACACAACCTTTTTTTCTTTCATTTATATACATTAGTAGAATTGATGATTAGACATTTGGATAAAAATCAACATAAGATAGTGTACATGCAGAAATAATAATAATAATATGAGTGTTATGAGTGATCAATTACAACAATCAGATGGGAAATAAGACGAGTGTTTTTATAGTCATAATAAGTTACTTGTTAGAATGTTGTGATGTGCTTGAATTGAAATAGAATACAATTTAAGATCATTTATTATCCTCCTCTGATTTCACTGGCTGACTGACTGACTGACTGGTGGTAATAATATCTTCCATGCTTATTTCTGGTATTTGCATTGATTCATTTCTGTTGCATGTGTTGTGTTGGGTGTAGACTCGATGAACCAGGCAGGATTCAGTAATCAACCCCTCTCTCTCTCTCTGTCTTCACCTACCTAAATTACTTCTTAGAATCTTAACCCTCTCTCACCATGCTATTTTGTGGTTGTGTGTTAATGCATACATGCAGTGGAATGTAGTGGTGAGCTTTTTTCTAAATTACTCATCTTCTCGGAGTCAACCATTCTTACCTTAGCTAAATTCTTATGTTCCGACAATCTGATTACCCCCGATCTACTAGTTTGTCCTATGTATGTAGTTGACCTAACTCACAGTCAGTGTAAGGTATTTTGTAAATTATATTATTTTGTGTAATTGGGTCAACCGACAGGGTCCTTTAACTTAACCTACAGAGCTTGTCCTATCTGAGTGAGTTTGTGGGTTTGAATGCCACCAGCCTAATTCCTGCTTTATTAAGAATTCTACGTAGGGAGGTTTTCAGATGTCCCCTCCTTCCTTATATAATATAACAGTTGATGACTTATATTCCCTCTTATTTATGTTATCATTACGAGTTTCACAATTATTTTTATTTCGCTTTTGGCCTTTACTGATCTTCCTAATAAATTTTATAGGATAGTTAGTTATTTGATACCAACACTTCTTCTACCTGTTTTATTTCATCATTCAGATATTTTCTTGTACTACTTGGTGCTATTGCTCGGTTTGCTAGACACTTAACTAAGCCAGCCTTTATAGACAGATAACGGACGGATGAGATGGATTAAAGTCCAAATATCTATTAGCAGAATGCGTTGGTTTTCTATAAACATTAATATGTAGTTTGCCTTCTTCTATTCGTTTTATTTAACAATCTAACATCACATCTAATTCTCCTTGTTCATTTTCCGATTCAAATGTGAATTTTATTCCCTCTACTAGTGAGTTTATGCATGTGTCAAGAAGCTAGAGAGAGATGTTCTGTTCTTAACACTGTGAATTTTATTTCATTATCTAATCGATTCCACACATGTATATAAATGAAGGTAACAAAAGTTGTGAGAGAGAGCAGCTTGATATGATTATGAGTGGCAATAGTTTGTGCTCAAAACGTTCGATTAATATTACTGTATAATATACTGTATGATTTATCAAAATAAAATCTTATCCATAATGGAGTTATACTCTACCAAAGTGCTCAAGTTTTATACTTACATCAATTATATTGTATATCTTCTTTATTTATCCTCATCATCATTACATCTTTGGTTTCCACTGAATACTTGTAGGTTTGGGCTGCTCTGCTCGGTGTTTATCCTCCTAATCGAGAATTTGAATCATCCTATCTGAAGACATTACATGAAATCAACAAATTAGGCTTAGAGTTTTCATTCAACGATGAATTAAATATCAATAACAATAGTAATAATAATAATAATAATAATAATAATAATAATGAACAAAATGTTGACAGCAATAAAGCCAATACTATCATCTATGATCGATTAGATGAAAAAGTCATCAATCAAATATCAGTTGACTTACCACGTTGTCATGCTTATGATCCTTTGTTGGCTTCACCAATAGGACAATCAGTTCTTCGCCGTGTTCTGCTAGCCACCTTATTGATGAAACCTGGTGCTTTGGATTATACTCAAGTAAGTGAAAAACAAAACAACTTTATGAACACAATTTGTTATTATTATTGTTTCCTTTAATTCCTAGAGCTGCACGTCTCCATTGCATTCGTTTCTCCGCTAACTTTTTGATCTGGCTCTATTCAGTACAAAATAACCTTAGTGAGCGATGTGCCTCTTCAGTAGAATCCAACGAATATGCACCGAAGACACGTGATGAAGAAGAATGAAAGTTGACACAAACTCTGGTTGATAACAATTAATCAGACAAGTTCATCAGGAGATATAAAGTAGTCAGAACACCAAGACCCACTCTACAACTCGCCTCTAAGAAAAATGTATACATCAAGCTACCCCATATGGGGCATCATAGGAGCTTGATAACTAGACAGAGACTGAACGCTGCTGTTAAAAAGACTTTTTATGCAGCTAATATCATAATAATAGAGAATGTAAAGCCAACATATCTATCTAAGCCTTTCGAACATACGAAAAATGTCACATCTCACTGTATTTACCAATTTGAATGTACGTGTGGACACACATACATAGGGAGGACTCATCGATCTCTGCAAGTAAGGGCTGGCTTTAGAGCGTGTTCCTAAATGACTGCAGAAACAAATGAAATCTTCAGAACCCATTAATGAAGAGTACAGAGACCTAGCTCCTCTACTGTGAAACATATTAAAGAGACAGGACGTAAAATTGACGTTAACAGATCTTTTAAACCTACCTATAAAACGTGTTTGGGGAAGGGTGTATCCTAAAGTTTGTGGAAGCCCTAACTGGCAATTAGGAAGTTTAAGCCACCTTTATGCGTTCAAAAACAATTCGTCATCACATTAAACCTTCCTTGGTAAATTTCGTTTTGATACATCAGCCAGGGCAGATGTACTATTACCTCTGCTATATGGTTTAGCGGTCTTCTTTGTTATTTTGGCCTTGAATATATCCTCCTTTTAACTTGACCTAAGTAGTTTATTTTCTCACCTCTTAACTCGTTATTTATTTCATATATATGTAGTCCAGTCCGTGTGTTATGGATCAGATTGTTCGAAATGGGTGTTGCGCAAATACAATTACACGATTCAGACAAATTACGTCTTCTCTTATTGCTTTATCTAAATTCATAATTGTCAAATAAAATATCTGAAAGTTTATGAAAAATACTCTCCTCCTACTAGTAGTAGGAAAGTAATAACATTTTTTTTTATTTATTTTTGTTTTTTGTTTTTTAACCTTTCATTATCTTAGGGTATGGATTCTGTGGCTGCTGTATTTGTGCGTATTTGTTATCCAGACGAGGCGTTAGCCGCCGCCTGTTTAAACGCATTCCTATCAACCAAGTTACCAGGATTTTTCTCCTCTGGTGGGCTAACTTTAGGCTTAAAGTCCTATTTCAATACACTTCTACGACTGTTAGCCTTCCATCTACCTCGATTAGCTGTTCACCTAGTCAATATTAATGTCCCGTTAATTGGATTGACTACCGGTTGGATTTATACACTGTTTGCGCATGCTATGCCATTGGATCGTGTTGAGCTACTCTGGGATACAATTATGCCTGGACCAGCGCTGTTATCCATGTTTTTTTATATTGCATTTTTTGTTCAATTGGACAGGCAAATAAATTTTGAGGTAATTGATTTTTTTTCTATTATTGTGTAATAGAGGTGTAGGCAGTGACAATTTAAACTAGTCTGCATTGTCATATAAGATTAGAACTGGATCATTCATCTGACTGGCTGACTGGTTTCAACGTAGAACTTTGCGCTGATGTACACCATTTCCAGTTGTCGCACTCCCTCAATGTACCACACACAAAGCAAGGGAAGAGAGTAAATCGAGATTCAAAACAGAGACAGAGAGATAATAAAGAGAAATGTGGATGGGGCAAAAAGAACAGTAATATGGAAGAACAATAGAGTTTTATTGGATATAATAAGTCATCACAAAGAGTAAATGCATCTGCACCAGCGCCAGCCATCACCGAGGACGATTTTAAGCTAACCAATATCACTAATTGATATGTATCCATATATATATATTTATGTGTGTGTGTGCATGTTGGTCTCTCTTTCTGTTTGCTCGGTTAGTCTGTGACCACTTCACTTGTATGGACTTGTCTCCTTTAATAATGTGTATTCTCCTTATATTATATTATATATAATATGAGTGTTTGTTGACAGTCCGTTGCTTGGTGACATATATCCATATATGTTTGTTGGCATGTCTGCTATATTCGCTATGTATAATTGGATCGACACTCCATTATAATTAGCCATTCATGTTAAGACTGTCTAATGATTTTTCCCACGCTTGTCTGAATTATTTATATATATTCGCATTCACAATTTGTGTGAACTACTTTACTTTACAACTACTTGACTTACTTACCACTTTGGTGTGAGACCATTTATTTTCGTCTCCTTGTGTTTGGACAATAGAAGTATCATCGCAAACCTAGTGGTCTTCTGATTTCCGCCTTCTCGCGTCAGGACTATTAGTTTCTCGACCAGTCCATAACAATAATTTAGCGACGAGTACATAACAATTTGGCGACGGGGAAAACTACTATTAACCACTCAGCAGCAGCAACATAACAATTTACTATGGATTATTCTAAATTGGAATTATTGTTTGAACAACAATTGAAATTAATGGAAATGTTCGTCAACCAACAGACTGGTCCAGCTCCACCTTCAAGCAATCCCAATCATACCATGCTACCATCTGTCGACGGAATTGTGAACAGCATTTCACAGTTCAATTATGACCCAGAGGCTAATGTCACTTTTGACACATGGTATCAACGTTATGAGGATTTATTCACTGTTGATCTCGCCTCACAAGACGATGCCTGGAAGGTGCGAGTTTTGCTACGTAAATTGGGTCCGGCAGAATATGAACGGTACTGCAACCTAATTTTACCACAGAAACCACGTGACAATTGTTTCGATGATACAATAAAGTTGCTGCGTGAACATTTCGGAGACCACTCCTCATTATTCAGTATACGTTATCGTTGCCTCAAGCTGGCAATGAATGAAAATGATGATTTTCTTACTCACGTTGGCACAGTCAACCGAGAATGTGAGAGATTTCGACTCAGGTCCTTAACAGATGATCAATTCAAAGCCTTGATTCTCATATGCAGTCTCCAATCTCCTCGTTTCACAGATATCCGAACTCGACTGCTCAATCAGCTAGAACAAAATCCCAAGTTAACATTACATGACATAGCTGATGAATATCAACGGCTGATTAATCTGCAGAAAGACACACACTTGGTCGAATCAACACCTCCGAGAAGCTCTGATATTCGTGCATTACGCAAGAGCAAAAATCTCTCATCAGCTACTCCTGACCCACCTACTTCTCCTAATGTTCCGCGGAAATCTATACATACTCGTCCAACTTCACAAAATACTGCAAAGAAGACCCCTCCATCACCATGCTGGCATTGTGGCGCGTGGCACTTTGTAAAGTCTTGCCCATACAAAAATCATCGTTGCAGCAAGTGCAAAATCATCGGTCATAAAAATGGGTTTTGTCAGCCACGCCAACTCAGATATCATAATCCAGCAAAAGCTCAACAAAATGTCGGTCCTAAATCTCCAAAAAGATCACTGAGTCTACGTGCAACCTGTCAAGTCACAACACCAGCTATGCGGAAATATATTGACCTTCAGATGAATGGTCATGATACTCGTCTGCAGCTAGATACTGCCTCTGATATTACTGTTATATCAGAGAAACTTTGGAATTATATTGGCAGACCACCTATCACCAATACTTCCCAGTCTCTTCTCAGCGCCTGTGGTGGGCGGCTCAAACTAATTGGTGAACTCAAATGTTCTGTTTCCTTCCGCAATACCAAATTCACAGGAATTTGTTACGTCACGAAGAATGATTTAAATGTTTTGGGACTTGATTGGTTCGATCGTTTGCATCTGGCTGATGTCCCACTAAATTCTCTACGCAATACAGTCAAGAAGCATAAAATGCTAGACAATTCCGGACGGAGCCGAAGCCGCAAACCCAACAATCAGACGAAACGACAGGCGTCAACAACAAGCCCAAAGGTCCCAGATAAACCCCCAGGTAAACATCCTACTAATCATTCATCTTCTCAAAAGGGGAGGTGATATGTATCCACATATATATATTTATGTGTGTGTGTGCATGTTGGTCTCTCTTTCTGTTTGCTCGGTTAGTCTGTGACCACTTCACTTGTATGGACTTGTCTCCTTTAATAATGTGTATTCTCCTTATATTATATTATATATAATATGAGTGTTTGTTGACAGTCCGTTGCTTGGTGACATATATCCATATATGTTTGTTGGCATGTCTGCTATATTCGCTATGTATAATTGGATCGACACTCCATTATAATTAGCCATTCATGTTAAGACTGTCTAATGATTTTTCCCACGCTTGTCTGAATTATTTATATATATTCGCATTCACAATTTGTGTGAACTACTTTACTTTACAACTACTTGACTTACTTACCACTTTGGTGTGAGACCATTTATTTTCGTCTCCTTGTGTTTGGACAATAGAAGTATCATCGCAAACCTAGTGGTCTTCTGATTTCCGCCTTCTCGCGTCAGGACTATTAGTTTCTCGACCAGTCCATAACAATAATTTAGCGACGAGTACATAACAATTTGGCGACGGGGAAACTAGTGCATAACACTAATTTTCTCCAGTCTTCATTGACTGTCATCACTATCCCAAGGACTCCAACCAGGCTACGTGACTGGCTGACTTAAACTAACTGCTGTGGATTTCATTGACTGATGACGAAGCCATGTTTCAGTTTGACCACCACCACTAGCTGACTCCTATCCAACTTAATCCATCCATCCTATGTCAGTCAGTGGCTAACATTGCCTCCCCCCGTTGTCGAGGAAGGCGAGGGCTAGACAGGGAGGCAGACAGGCATGTGTGAGTAACACGTGTCGTAACCATCCAGCTCAGTCGATGTAACTGCTTCACAACCTCGATGTCAATTCTTATCCCCTCCTCTTCCTCCGTCCTTACCTAGCACTCGACCGGCTGATGTTTCAAATCAATATTGCTCACCATTCTTTTACACCTACCATAGAACGCAGACATCTATGGTCAATGACAGCTAGCTAGTAAGCTACCCTGGGTTTTCATGTCTTCCACTGTGTGAATGGCAATGTCTCACAGCCAGCCATAAAGAGGGACGAAGTGAACTGCTGAGCAGTATAGTACAGACTCCCTTTGATCGACAGCTAGCTAGCCAGCCAGTCGCATATCACGTCGACCAAGTACGCCAGAGATGGTGCAATTGTTAAGTTGGCTGTAAAATTCCAAAGGAGTTTTGTGTATCCGTGCTGAGATTTTGTCAGCGATCAACCCTCTGGCGTTTGCTGGTTTGATGGAATTTCCTAAATACGTGCTCCATTAACCTCCTTACTCCGGATCTTTAAGCTAGATATCATTCGTCTGGCTAATTACCTTGCGTATTGAACTTTACTGTTCAAACTTTCAACATTGCGTCACACATTCCTATAATCTCTGATGTATGCATTTCATGATTTTTGAAAATTTCTAAAGAAGTGTTCAACTGTAAAAGAATTTAATAAGTTTCTGCATTTGTCCATCAAATTTGTTGAGGTGAATGCAAAGACCTTCCTTCTAGAAGACTTTTTTCTCCTGAGGTATAAAGACATCCGAAAGCATTCTGGAGGAATCTCAGACGAAATCCTATTTCACTACAATTCACCTACTACACTGAAACGACACGCCCTAAATCACATGGATAACGTCCGATCTAGATTATCCGAAATGGAGCAAACAAAATATAATCCCATATTAGATAAGTTCACTCTAAATATCACACACAGAGATGCTGCAGAATGAACAAATGGACGACGAGATTTGCAGCAGAGATTCGTACCACTCAATAATCAAAACAGTTTTAATCACACGGTTTCATAGTTTATCTTATACGAATATTTTCTGTCTCTCTAATTTCCCCCGTGTTGTCTGTTGCCACTTTTCACATCTCTGGTATACGCATGGCGTAGCGTCTTACCGCTTGTTGCATGTGTGAGGTGTTGAATCGTTAAACAAAGCTGTAGTGATTAACTTCTCTCTGTCTCTCTCTATCTCCACCTAATTATATTAATTTTTAATACTCTCACCCTGTCCCATCCATCCCCTTTTGTGATTAAATGTAGGTGAATACAATGCATATATATATATATATATATATATATATATATATATATATATATATATATATATATATATATATATATATATATATATATGGTATTCCATGTTAGATGCTGTTTAGTAATGATGCCACATTGAATGCAAGAAGGCAACGAACACAAGGCTCATCATGTACTTATAACCTTCCTTTTTAAGTTGTCAGAGAATTATTCACGGATCTTCGAGTTGCTTTATTTTTTGATTCTCTTTCATCATCTTATTATTATTATTTAGGAAGACAGAAATCATAAAGTGCAGTTAATTGTGTATAAAATTCTTATTATGGTTCAGTCGATGGTTCACTGGCCGAATACTCGCCAACCATGCCCACCCAAGTGATCTAAGTGGAGAGTGGGTTTTGATCCCCGGTTGATGCACACCTAAACCTCTCTCTCTCTCGCTCGCTCGCTCACTCGCTCGTCCGTCCACCGATAGACTAAGCGCCTCTTGAAGAGGTTGGGTGTGAAGCTAGCTACCTAGAAACTCCATGACCCCCTCATCCCGCGCACCTCCTAAAAAGAAATAACATAATACTGTTATTTGGAACTTCAAAGCGAAAAAGACTGAAGCCCTATCAATGTTCCACTTGAAACGCAAAAGAATTAAATTTTACAGTTACAATGTTATTATATTAATATTATTATTATTATTTCCTTTAATTCCTGGAGGAACATGGGGCTGTAACACACGGGAGTAAGACAAGGCTGCCTACTATCGCCAATGATTTTCCTGATTGCAGTAGATTGGATAATACGACAGACGACGGGCAATGAGGAAACAGCCATAAAATGGACCCACACAAAAAACTTGGAGGATCTGGACTTAGCCGATTATATATGTCTGATTTCTCACAAACTGGAAGATATGCAAGTGAAAGGTTGACAGAAGAAGCATCCAGGGAAGATAGGACTTCCTTAAGGTGAACATAGAGAAAACAGATGTGATGAAGATTCCTAGCCAACACCAACAGCAGCAACAACAACAACAACATACAACAATCAGAATAAATGGGAGGAACCTGAAATAAACAACCTCCTTTACCTGCCTTGGAAGCATCGTTTCGACTACAGGCGGGCGGAACTGATGAGGATATCAAAGCAGCGAGGATGGGGGAGCAAGACAAGCTTTCATTACTCTCAAGTCTGTGTGGTGATGAACAGCACTCAGCATGTAAATGAAAAGAAGATCCGGATTTTCAACTACAATGTGAAGTCAGTGCTACTCACTATACGGATCAGAGATTTGGCCAGCGCGTCATGAAGAGCACCTCAAATAAACTACAGACCTTCATCGACGGCTAGCTGCCTACGCTCAGTACTACTCAAAATCAAATGGCCGACCAGAAAAGATCAGCAACAGGGATCTCTGACCTAGATTGGCCATACTCTGAGGAAACCATCAAGTGACTAGACAATACCTCTAGTGGAAACCGAAAGGGAAGCGGCGAGTTGGTCGTCCAAGGGTGACTTGGAGGGGGTCATGTGAAGAGGGGATGAAAGCATATGGGCAGACTTGGAGCCAGATGATAGCGTTGGCAGAGAACCGAAAGCAATAGAGACGTGCTACTGAAGATCTATACTCCTCTTGGAATTAAAGGAAATAATAATACATACCCAAATCATGTACACCTTATCTTCATATCACCATTTGCACAGATATTGTGTGTTGTGCTACTTCTGGACTTCCTTCATATTGTGTGTTTCTTTGTGTTCTTTTCACGTCTCCCATGTATCTCTCTGTAACTCTGAATCATTCGCCTTCACCAACGTCAAATCTATCTCCCTGCTATTTGATGTTTCTTTATACCGATGGACGTCTCTTTATATATACTACCACTGTGATAAATGTTATCAGTGACACATGCCAAAACATCATTATGTAGCATTATTAATCAATCCTCTGATTGAGATGCTTCTTCTTCCATTTTTTTTTCTTAGTCTTTAGGATTGGAGAAAATCTGTACAATTTTATCAAATTTTCCGGATATCAATTTGGATAAATGTCGAAATGATGCGTTAAAATTAGCCCTGGCTACTCCTCGTAGTTTAACAACTTGGTCAATTCCAAACAAGAAGTATTTAGATCAGAAGTCAGTGAATACTGAAGAATTACTGATGACTGAACAATCGAATACAGTGGAAAAAGAATTTTCTAATTCAAAGGAAAATGAACCTGCAGCTTGTGATTTCTATACAGTAAGTATATATATATATATATATATATATATATATATATATATATATATATATATATATATATAGTGGAGAGGATTCGTAGCTCAGGTGGATGATTTTCATGTGGATAAGATTTTATTTTGATAAACTGTCACACAGTGTAGTGTTGCTATACAGTAATATTAACTGATGACCAAGTTTCCAGCACCATTTATTATTGACACTCATAATCATAACCAGTTACTCACTCACTTACTCACACAACTTTTTGCCTTCATTTATATACATTAGTGAAATTGACAATTAGATATTTGAATAGAAATTAATATGTGATAATGTAATAAGAAGTAAAGTATGTAGGTGGAAAGACAGATTGATTACTGAATCCTGGCTGGTTTTATCGAGTCTACACCCAACACAACACATGCAACAGAAATGAATCAATGCAAATACCAGAGATATGCATGGAAGATATTATTACCACCAGTCAGTCAGTCAGTGAAATCAGAGGAGGATAATAAATAATCTTAAATTGTATTCTATTTCAATTCATGTACATCATAACAGTTTGACAAGTTACTCACTTATTTTGACTATAAAAACACTCGTCTTATTTCCTATCTGATTGTGATTGATGAATAACGCTCATATTATTATCATTATTATTTCTGAATGTACATTATCCTATATTACTGATTTTTTTTCGAATATCTAATAGATTCCACACATGTGTATAAATGAAGGAAAAACGTTGTGCGGATGATTGAGTAACTTGTTATAATTATGAGTCACAATGATAATCTGTGCTCGAGACGTGGTCATCAGTTAATATCAGTGTATAACACCACTGTGTGATAGTTTATCAAAATAAAATGTTATTCATAATGTAGTTATACTCTACCACCACAGTGCCAAAGTTTTATACTTATATCAATGGATTGGTAAATTTTACCTTTGTTAATGTGCTTGTTAATTGACGATTCACTGGAATATCAGGCAGGCTTTCAAGAATTCTCTGACATTCTTGGTGTTTTCTCACTCCATTAATTCTGCAGACCCGTTTATAAGGGAAACCAAAGGCATTCAAATAGATGACCAAGAAATAATGGTATCCTTCGACGTCACAGCATTATATATACCCTAATTGTACAGAAACTAGCAAAAGAGACTATGGAACAGTTACTACTCAGCAACGACGAACACCTCCCTCAGCACTTAAAAATGCAACACACACAAGTTGGATGGTTGTGCATAAACCTATGCCTAACAATGCTGTCTGTCTGTCTGTCTGGATTCAACATAGAACAATGCACATCCAATTCAACGGACAAATATTTGAACAAATTAAAGGAACACCAATGGGATGGCATATATCAGGTTTGATTGCAGAAGAGGTGATGCAAAGGCTCGAAAACATAATTCCACCAAAGATCAAAGCCAAAATTTGGATACGTTATGTAGATGATACATCTGTATTAATCAAAAGAAACGAGTTGGACAAAATTCACAACTTAATAAACCACATCTTCTTCAACGACATCAAATTTACAAGAGAAGAGGAATCCGAGAAAAAAAAAATCCTATTTTTGGGCGTCTCAGTCAAACCGAACAACCACAGAAAAATGAGAAAGAAAAGTTTGAAGAAAATCAACCCACATATATCAAATACTGAATTACAACAGCAACAATCCAATAACACACAAAATGAGTTGTTTACAAACACTTTTCAAAAGGACCAACTGAGGCTTATTTCAGCACTCCCATCTTAAGAAAAATTGAAGAAAGATATCTCATAGATGTCTTGCAGAAGAGTGGATATCCACAGAATTTCATCAAAAGACATCTACCCCCAAGCCAACCTACCAAATCGAATGCCCCGAAGGAAAGCAAAAAGAAGATCATTCTACCAAATATAAATGGCGTCTCAGAAATCACTGCAAGACTCTTCAAACCGTTAGGAACTGATGTCACACATAAACCAACAAAATCACTTCACTCAGCTCTGTGTCAACAGCGAAAGAAGATGAAACCAACATGATCTACAAAATTAGTTGCAACGACTGCTAAAAGCACTACATTGGTCAAAGTAGACGTCCCCTTCATCTTACCATCCATTAGCTTAAACTAGCCGTCAAAAGACATGACATCTACTCCCTCATTCATATCGCTGCATACAGACAGCCACGGACGTCAATTCGACCGGGACAACCAGCACCAGAGAATTTTTAGAAGCCTTCCTGGTATTTCAGTGAATCATCAGTTAACAAGCACACTGACATAGATAAAATTTACCAATCCATACCATGAGAGGAAAATGTCATGCGCAGGAGGTCAAACTTCATGTCGAGGAAACAATCAGTACCAATACAAATAGACTGGAGGGTGTGAAGACAGACAAGAGCAACCAATCATGTTCAAGGTCACCCACCAGGAGAGATAATTGATGAACTCGTGGCGAAATTTTATAGCCCACTTCAACAAATTGATGTGTGTACTGAAGATGTTTCCTCGTGGGGGCAATGAAAGTTTCGCAAGTAAACCATCCAGTTCAGAAAACACAAATACATCAAAATATACATATATTTAAATTTGGCGCTGTGATATTTTGAAAATGACTTTTGTTTAATCACAAACTATCCTTGTTTATCTTTCAAAAAATAGGAATTTCAAAGTTTATTTACTCCTGGAGAATGATGAATATTTTTTTTAAACTGTTATTTATATTTTTATTTCTTACTCTGATTCTCCAATTTATGAATCTGAACAAAGCAAAAAAAAACAGTTTGTGCAGAATAAAATGATACCACCATCTTTTACTTGGTTAGCTTCGTCGGCTCTTTCAGTGTCTTTAAGTATCGTGTGCTTTTCGCCGTCTAAGTGCAAAGTAGTACTGTTACAAGACTGGAAGGCTAGTGGTGTCACTGTCACCCGACGATCTCCTTAGTGTGGATCTCCATTGTATTTGTTTGTACCTATCTATTGACCAATAGGCTCTTGGAAGGAGTCTGTACATGCACTCACTCTTGCTGCAGGTGAACCACTGAAATTTGTCGATAAGTTCGTGTATCTGGGCAATTGTTTGAATGCTGGCAGAGGCGTGAGGGATGACATTTACAACCGTATCATGATAAAAGCTAGTTTGGTTCCTCTAGTCTGGCGCAGTCGCGACGTTAGGCTGGCTGTCAGAGGTCGGGTTTACAATGATTTGGTGCGTGCTGTCTCGCTCCTACGCCTGTGAAACCTAGCCTCTCCGGTTGGACTAAGGATGTACGGCGATTCTGAGTATTCGATTATCGCTGTCTCCCTAGGGACTACTTGCGTTCAGTGGCATCATCGCATGAGAGTAACTCTGAAGTCTGGCAGCGCGCGTTTGGACACAGGGGAGACCATTATTCACTGAATGTCGTCGTCATCATCTGGAAGTACCAGGTTCTGTGGCTTGGACATTTGCTACTAATGTCATGCCGGAGGTTTCCGTACAGGTGTCTGTTCTCTAGCCAGCCCTGGGACGGGATGAAAAAATCGGAGAGGTGGTCAGCCCATGACGTGGCTTTGTGGGATGAAAGGTATTTGCGTTAGATTAGCATCAGTTTGCGCGTCACAACTCCCTGGCTCTACGTTATCAGACATGGCCAATCGCAATCATCACTGGCGAATGTCGTGTTGCCATTTCCTCGTTTCTTCTATTTTTGACGATAATTGACGAATGCTGTTTGAACTTGTTAAATATGACTGATTTCCTCCCAGATGAAGTACTTTATTCGTTCTCTAACTGTATTTTTACTTTTCATCTCATATGTTTCATCATTATTATTGTTTGGCGCATCTTTTTTGTGAGACATTGTATCAAATGTTTTTTTTCTGAGTCGGTGCGTCGGTAGCACAGCGGTTAGGACGCTCGCCGACCATGCTCATGTTCCGAGGTTCGATCCCCTGCCGACGCACACCTAATATCTATGGTCGGCCTGCAAAATTTGGGCTACCGATATCCATGTTGAAAATTCCATACATTGTACCAAAAATACAGTGTAGAATCAAGCTGTTATCAAAATCAAATAAGTAACAATCTTCGACCTCTCATCAGCTGCGTGCAGCCTTAAGAAATTTTTATTATTATTAGGTTATGCACAGAACAATTTTAACATGCTTCAAAATGTCATATATGATGTCAGTTAATGACGAAGGAGACTCCGAACTCAATGAACACAGCTCAGAAATTACACTTTTATATCTTGTACACAGAAAGTCCAACTTTCAACAGAAAATAAGTATTCAAGTATTGGTTTGTAGGGATTTGATTGATTGGTTACAGGATTTCATCATGAGCTGACATTGGTTAGAGATCCATTGGAAAACCTGCAGGTAGTACTGGACAGCTGTTTCGTCCTATCTATTTTGGGACTTTTCATCAGCACCCACCCACCGGGGTTCCAGGACCCAGGACCTTCTGGTTACCAGGCCAGCGAGCTCGTTGACCGTTAAGCCACTGGGACCCGATCCAATGGCCAGTCCATGAATTCTAACTTCTGCCAATTTACGATATAGCGCAACCGCTAGCCAATGTCTTCGGTGGCGAGTATTTGTCCTCACATCCGACCTGCCGCATCCTACTGGTCACGACTTCCCACTAGAACCCCAGGTAATATTCAATGATAGCGGTTGCTCTATGTTGTAAATTGGCAGAAGTTAGAACTCATGGACACTGCTGAAGAGTCCTAAACTAGGATGAAACAGCTGTCCAGTACTGCCTGTAGGTTTCCCAATGGTTCTCTAACCAATGTCAGCTCATGATGAAATCCTGTAATAAAAGCAATAGTCGAATAAGATGATGAAAAACTAGTAAATTGAGGAACAATCATAAAAACAAGATACAAGCAAAGTCTGTCACACCCTCTGAAACCCGATTTCTGTGCTCAGAAAGAAGCAGTTATCATCAGTCTTTCCTTGCCCTGCCTGATAACTGTATATCTTTACCTTCTCTCTCCCCCTGTTTCATTTGATTACATACGCGCAGATTATTTACATCAGATTGTTATATTGTTTTTATTATTATTGTACCCTTGGGTTCCTAGTGGAACGTAAAGTTTCAACAGAACCTTTCCATTTTATCCTGTCCTCTAAAGCTATTTTTACAACTGACCAGAGATTGTTATCTCCACTTCACACGGTCGCCTTCATGTCACACTCGGACACACATCGCACTCATCGTTCCGCATTCCGGTTCCAATCGTCGGCCTAGTGGTGTCACTGTCACCCGACGATCTCCTTAGTGTGGATCTCCATTGTATTTGTTTGTATATATCTATTGACCAATAGGCTCTTGGTAGGTTCATTCCGATACTTTTCTGTTTGCTGATTCTTTCTGAATGGTGGTCATCTGACCTTCAGTATTGATAAAATTCTGCACTCACCTGTTAAAAATGCTTTTCGTGCCGCTTAAGCGACGGTGAATATGCTGCAAAGTTCTACGTTGTAACTAATCAGTCAGTCAGTCAGTTGATTAAGCAAAGTTTATGATCCGTGTAGAAGAATTGACTAGAACTGACATTAAACGCTTAAATCTGAATTTCACTATTAAGAAGATTGACTGTGTTTTGTGACGATCACAGTAGACAGACAAGGTTGGATGTTTTTTGATGTGGTTGTGTTCTCCGAGCTAGATAGTTAATTTGTGAAGCTTTTATCACCCTACTATGCGACATCTTCAGCGCATACTTCAATTTGTTGAAATGAGCTTTTAGATTTCTCCACGAGTTTATTAATCATCTCTCCTGGTGACCTTGGACGTGATTGGTTGTTTTTGTGTGTTTTCAGACCTTCTAGGCGGCTACTTGTATTGGAACTGATTATTTCTTTGACTTGAACTTTGACCCTTTGTGTGTGGGTTGATAAATTCTGTCTATCTCGATGTGTCTATTGATTGATGATTCATTGGAATGCCAAGCTTCTAAAAATTCTGTAGCATTCTTGTTGTTTCCTCTGTCTAATATTTGAACGTTGGTTGTTCTAGTCGAATTGATGTTCGTGGTTGTCTGTTTGCAGTGAGGCGATATGAGGGAGTGGATATCATGTCTTTTGACGGCTAGCTTATGTTCGTTGATAAGAAGACGAAGGGGACGTCTACTTTAGCCAATGAAATGTTTTTCGCAGTTGTTACAGTTTATTTTGTAGATGATGTTGGTTTTATCTTCTTTCGCTGTTGAGTCTTTTGGTTGACATATAACTGAGGGAAGGGATCTTGTTGGTTTGCGTGTGTGTGTGACGTCAACTCCTAAAGGTTGAAAAGAACAAGTAGTTCAGCAAAGATATCTTTTCGACGATTTCATTCTCAAAAGCAGCTGTACAATCGCATTTATGTAGATTAGTTTACATGGATACAATTCTTATTTGTTTAATTCCGCATAGTAACGAAGGTGAAGAGTCTTGCAGTGATTTCTGAGATGTCCTTTATATATGGTAGGGCAATTTGCTTTGTGCTTTCCTTGGGGAAGAATCTGAAAGCGCACTTCAAATTGAAGTATGCGCTGAAGATGTCGCCTAGTAGGGCGATGAAAGGTTCACAAATTAACAACTATCCAGCTCAGAGAACACAACTACATCAAAATCATCCACCTGAGCTACAAATCTTCTCTATCATATCTAAGGTTGGATGTATTTATATTTTGAATGCATAACGCGAGCTTGAACTATTTTTGATCGCTAGTGCCTCAGTTAATTATGCTTTGAGAGGTTTGATAAGTGAATTGCATTGGCTTATCTATGCACCTTATTTTTTGTTTCTCTGCGTATCTAGCGTTTATCATTGCCAAACGCATGGCCAGATCATTTGGAATATGATTATTATTCAGCAGTCTCAGAAGAGATTGATGCCGATACTTTGCAAAGTATGTTTGAAAAATACAATATCTCATCGAATGCCTCAAAATTGGTACCGTTACTCAGTGTTAAAGATGCTTTAGAGCATATTCACCGTCCAGATTGTTTGGTTCTAGACTTACGGAACGCCAAGGAATATAATAAGTAGGTGTTTCCACAATTTATTGTGTTATTTTTTCTTAGTCTCACTTTTTCTGTTATTTTATTGTTATTATTAATATTTTTTTTGAGTAATTTCCGATTATACAAAAGAATGGATACTGAACAAAAAATACTCTTTTCGATAACCCCTTCATCATCATCATCAGGCTCTGCAGTTATATATCCATCCATAATAGCGAATGAATGAATTAGTGTTATGAACAACAACATTAATGTTGCTGTTTAAATAACATCGAATCAATAATATTGATAGATTACAGCTCAGTAGCACCAACATGACAACAAACTGAATGTCAGAAAAATTAGAAAAGATTATATAAAAAATTTATGAATTTGTAGTCTCTACTGAAGGTCAGCCAGGGCAGTAGTAGTAGGGGCTAGCTGGCTGGACTTGCTTCTTCTCCACACAGAGGACTGGTTGTTTGAGGCGAATTACAATAGCCTCTGCTGTTTGGAGCATGTGGTACTCCGATGATGATTTCGGCAATTTATTAGGCACCCGGTAGATGATGATAGAGGAGGATTCTTCCACTCTGACTGGCTGGCTGGCTGGCTTTGTGGCCGGCCAGTCTGCACCAAATGGTCCAATATCGAACTGTTCATGATGGTTTTCACTACACCTTTACTTAGCTATAATGGGATGGGAGATGTTCTCGAGCGAGTGAGCACGAAAAATCAAGTTCCTAGAGCAAACAATGGCCGATATAACTCGCTCCAACACGAGTACAGTTGAATTGGTGGATACAATATGAAGTGACCAGCTAGTCTAGGTACTTCATCTTTCAGTCGAGGTAGTACCATCGGTCGTGTAGAGGATAATACGTGTAGTTCGCCGCCAGCATTGGAAGTTCTTTGAACTAATTTTCATAATTTCTTCGTAATTATCTCACTTGGTTTGTTGATTGCCCTTGAATTGCAGTTGTATATAAAGAGGGTTTTCGTTTTGGGATAATGAGTAGTGCTTTTCCGCTTTCTTTGTCATGTGTTTCTTGATAAATTTTTCGGGATAGCTATTTTCGATGAAAGTATCATATAGATTGCTGAATTCATCTTCAATTACTCCTTCCGATCATAAAGCTGTAAATCTGTGGCCGAGTGAGGGTGTTTACTAAATTTCTTTTGTACTGGAGAGGAAGTAAGTTGTAAAAATGTGTATATTGTCCTGTCCAAGTACTTACTTTTCGTATGCAAATTTCTTTTTGTGCCTACCATCTGGTTTTCTTGTAAGGAGGACGGGGATCCAGGAAGGCAATTCATTCTGTTTTGGGATTGTTCTTCGCATGTGAATTTCATAGCTGAATGTACTTCATTGAATTCGGTAATTATTGTACTCCTATCAGAATCATTATCACAAAGAATGAAGGTGTCATCCATATACCGGCAACAAAATGATAGGTACATGAGGAGGGGAAAACATCGTTTTTCAAAACTTGTTACATATTATGTAGTTGACCATGACCAAAATCGAGGGGTTGTTCAAATTTCTTTGGAACACACACAGGTTTGGCTTGTTCAGGGTTAATTCCGATTGCCTCTGCTGTATGTATGTACGTGAAATTCGTACTCTTAGAGAATGAGGTGAGAGGCTGGGTGAAATACGATTGATAAATAACTTTGTAAGCTTAATAAGAGTCGACTTGATGTCCAGTCAGTATCGACGATATGAACTGGTACTGAGCTGCGTATAGTAGGTTTATTCCGCACTTTGCCAAATCCAGAGATGTGTTCACCAGTCTCCCCAATAGTCGCCGACCTTTTCATGAATAAATTCGAAAATAACATCTTTTCAAGCATACTCACTCCTAAAATATGGTTAAGATATGTGTATGATACTTTTGTAGTACTAAAACGAGATCTACACTATTCATTTCTGGAGAAAATAAACAGTGTATCTCCCAGAATCCAGTTCACTTCGGAAGCAGAATCAGACGTCGGTGAACTACCATTTCTAGACTGCCTAGTTAAGAGAAAGGAAAACGGACATTTTAGTATATCCATATTCAGGAAAAAAACCCACTCCAATAAATGTTTAGACTTCAAATCATTACACCCCATCAGCGCAAAGATTTCAGTTGTTTCAAGTCTTCTTAGACGAGCACACTCTCTGATAACGGATGAGAAAGAAAAAGAAGAAGAAATATCAGGCATCACTGAAACTCTCAAGCAAAAAACTACTCCAGGAACTTCATCAACAAAATCAACACAGACATTAAGTATGGCCGACAATGCATTCCGAAAACATGGACATCAACAGTCATCATCCCATATAGAGCAGAGACGTCAGATGATATCAGAAGAGTACTCAATAAGCTCGACATTAAAGTTTTCTTCAGAACATCAGACACACTTCAAAGCAGCCTTGTCCATATAAAAGACCGAATCCCTAAATATTCCCTATCTAATTGTGTCTATAAAATAAAATGCTTGGAATGTGATGCGATCTACATCGGACAAACATCGGCAGAGAGAAATCAAAATCAGAAGAAATGAACACCGTGGAACATCTCCTCGACCACCGATAAATAAATCCAGATGAACTAGAAAAACTTGAAAAATCACCAGACATAAGCTCGTCTACATGCTATAGAATCAGGCCACAAAATTGATTTTGACAATATTGAAATAATACAGAAAAAGCAATTCAGAAATCACAAAGGACATCTGTTATCATCAGAAGCACTTCATATCAAGTGGAATCCAAATTGTCTGAACTCAATAGGAATGATGGACTAGAACAGAATCTGACCTGGTTACAACACCTCCTTCTCCCAACACGAATGTGATAAGCAAGTTCACTAGGTAAACACACATTGTTTTATAATTTTACACCCTGATAAAATCCAACAATGTACACTTGATTTTGTTATCTTTACTAATTGACCAATTTGATAACGAAAAACGACCCCAGACTGACGGACGATGATCAAGTTAGCAAACTTTGTTTTAATATCATAACAGATGTACTATTACCTTTGTTATTTGGTTTAGTGATCTTCATTGCTATTTTGACTTTCAATATGTCCCTTTAACTTGACCTAAGTCTATTTTCTCACCCACCTCTTACCTCTTTATTACATATATATGCTGAGTGGATTTTGTAAATTCCGGTTTAATAATACTGCTTTGATAAAGCTATTAGCAGCAGCATTAAATAGCGAAACGTCAGTAAGAGCGACAATATCGTTTTGATTTTTATTGATTGGGAAATACAAAAAATAACCTTTATTATAATGAATATCATGTATCACCCACTGCCCAAATTTTTTCAAACTATTAAAAGTGAACTTGGTTTGGACATATAAAGCAGATGGGAGGTGCTCGAAAATTCGAAGATGAACTTACCTGATCGTATGCCGAATGTAACTAGCTCCACCCGGGCAGTTAAACTGGTAAATACGCTTGAAAGAGGCGAGACACATCAGTCTGTCGTTATTTCTTTAAGTGTGTATTGGTTGGGGCTAGTGAGTGAACAGCATAGGTTAGCTGCGTTGAAAGTCCTTTTGAAGGGTATTCTCATATTGCGTGATGAGATCTTACTACTGACATCACCCGTGAGTTGTAATCTTAGGAAGTCTGATTTCTTTCTTCATATACGTAATTGTTGTAAAGCTGAATCACCGAGACACCTGTTGTCAATGTCCAGGTCTAACTACACTGTCCTTAGAAGACTTTCAGCGACAATGTGCAATAACCAACACGAAAAACCAGAACACAGATTGGTGACCCACGAATGCTTTATTCTTTCATCAATATAGAACCAACCGTAAAGTTATTTATTACACACAAAGTTAGGACTCTCGCCGACCATGCACATGGTCCGGGGTTCGAGCCCACGTCGACGCACACCTGATATCTATAGTCGGCCTGAGAAATTTCTACTACGGATATCCACGCTGAAAATTTCATACTTGTACCAGAAATACAGTGTGGAATCAAGCTGTAATCAAAAATAAAATAAATAAAAAATACAAAGTATCATAACAAATAACCACAATGATACTTCTAACGAACAGTGTACGATGGAACGATGACTACAGTATCGGTGACTCCCACCAAAATGTGGAGTTGGGTTTGAGTAAACAAACATGAATTGATCGTTCATTCTTCAACTAAATTGACACCTGTTACGCCAAATAACCGAACAGAATAATGAAGGTAAGGATGATGAGCGCATTGGACTGCCCAGACATTGAGTATTTTACACACACACACACACACTTATTCCCCCTTATTATGAATTTGAATGTAGCGTAAATCAAAAGATTTATGCAGAACAATAAGATAAATACCATCATCATTTTACTTTCTTGACTTCTCATCATCTGCATACAACCTGCAAACTTTACAAAATGTCGGTAGATAGAAGACATCAATATTAACTGATGACCACGTTTCGAGCACAAAGCATTGCTACTCATAATCATATCAAGTCACTCACTCACACAACTTTCTTGTTTCCTTCATTTATATACATGAGTGGAATTGATGATTAGACATTTGGATAATATCAGTAATATAAGATAAAGTACATTCAGAAAGAATAATAATAATAATATGAGTGTTATTGATCAAATACAATCAGATGAGAAATAAGGCGAGTGTTTTTATATTCATAATAAGTAACTTGCTAGAATGTTGTAATTATTGTATACGGACTGAAAAAGAATTTTAAGATTATTTATTATTATTTCCTTTAATTCCTAGAGGAACATAGGGCTTCAGCCATGCGTGTCTCCATTGCGTTCGGTTTTCTGCCAACGTTTTCATCTGGCTCCAAGTCTGCCCACATGCTTTCATCTCCTCTTCACATGACCTCCAAATCACCCCACCGTCTCACTGACGACCAACTCGCCGCTTCCCTTTTGGGTTCCACTAGAGCAATGGCTTGTCTAGTGATGTAACTTGATGGTTTGTCTTCTCAGAGTATGGCCAATCCAACTCCATTTCTTTCTGCATATTTGTTGCACATTTGGTTCCTGTTTGGTTGGTTCGCTCATTGCCAGAGATCCCTGTTGCTGATCTTTTCTGGTCGGCCATTTGATTTTGAGTAGTACTGAGCGTAGGCAGCTAGCCGTCGATGAAGGTCTGTAGTTTATTTGAGGTGCTCTTCATGACGCGCTGGCCAAATCTCTGATCCGTATAGTGAGTAGCACTGACTTCACATTGTAGTTGAAAATCCGGATCTTCTTTTCATTTACATGCTGAGTGCTGTTCATCACCACACAGACTTGAGAGTAATGAAAGCTTGTCTTGCTCCCCCATCCTCGCTGCTTTGATATCCTCATCAGTTCCATCCACCTGTAGATGAAACGATGCTTCCCAGGTAGGTAAAGGAGATTGTTTCTGATGTGGTTGTGTTCTCTGGGCTGGAGAGTTAATTTGTGAAGCTTTCATCACCCTACTATGCGACATCTTCAGCGCATACTTCAATTTGAAGTGAGCTTTTAGATTTCTCCACGAGTTTATTAATCATCTCTCCTGGTGACCTTGGACGTGATTGGTTGTTTTTGTGTGTTTTCAGACCTTCTAGGCGGCTACTTGTATTGGAACTGATTATTTCTTTGATTTGAGCTTCGACCCCTTGTGTGTGTGTTTGTGTGTGGGAGGGGTTTCTTTTTTATCGGTTGATAAATTCTGTCTATCTCGATGTGTCTATTGATTGATGATTCACTGGAACGCTAAGCTTCTTTCTCTCAGGTTCCTCCCATATATGCTGATTTTTGTTTGTTGTTGTTGCTAAGATTATTTATTATCCTCCTTTGATTTCACTGACTGACTGACTGGTGGTAATAATATCTTCCATGCATATCTCTGGTATTTGCATTGATTCATTTCTGTTGCATGTGTTGTGTTGGGTGTAGACTCGATAAAACCAGCCAGGATTCAGTAATCAATCTGTCTTTCCACCTACATACTTTACTTCTTATTACATTATCACATATTAATTTCTATTCAAATATCTAATTGTCAATTTCACTAATGTATATAAATGAAGGCAAAAAGTTGTGTGAGTAAGTGAGTGAGTAACTGGTTATGATTATGAGTCACAATGATAATCTGTGCTCGAGATGTGGTCATCAGTTAATATTACTGCATAGCAACACTACACTGTGTGATAGTTTATCAAAATAAAATCTTATCCACAATGGGTATTATACTCTACCACCACATTGCCCAAGTTTTATACTAACATCAAGAGACATCAAAATTAATAAACAATCCTCAGGGGAAAATAATATAAGCTCTTGAATACAAGTAGCAAAGAAAGGGTTACGTAGTAGAAGCAAGAGGTGGATAAAGTGATGAATAATTAATAAATTGCTTGACAATGTAGTGAGTTCAACCTAGATTACCGAAACATGAGACGAGCAAAGTAACGCCGTAGTGAAGGTGGGGGTGGGTGGGGAAGGTTAAAGCCAAAGATTGTGTAATCAGATGAGACAGAGAGAGAGAGAGAGAGAGAAAGTGGAAGACTAAGGGAAACCAGTTACCAGGATAAAGACAGACTGACGATAACTGCCTTTTTTCTCTCAAACACATAAATCAGGTTTCAGGCATTAAATAACAACTGCTTCGGCAAACTTGGAGACAACTGAACTATCTTGTCTATTGATAATTTTAAAACAGGATTCTGTAATGTCCACCTGGTGACACACTTCATGTAGCACACAAAGCAAGAGAAGAAATTACAAGAAAAGCATAACAGGGACAGTAAGCAGAGGTGTGAAACAAAGGAAGAGTAATAACGAAGAATAAAACAGTTTCATTGGAAATCATAAGTCACAAGGAGTGGATGCATCTGAGTCGGGCATTGAGAACGATTTTGAGCCATGTCACCAATTGTTCGGAATATATATATATATATGCATATGTATGCATATATTGGTTAATTTTTGTTTAAAATGAACTCAGTGCAAGTATGTTAAAATTGTTTTTGTAGGTATATTTAATAATGTCTTTGGCCTGTAAGCAACTGACGAGAAGGCAACGAAATAAACATTGATGGTACCAATTTATTCTGCTGAAACTGTAGTTCTTGCTTTGTTCAAATTTATATTTTCCTTGGGAATTTAAATACTGTTGAAGTCAGGAATAGTTGCACTGCCAGCATTGTCCTCAAGTGACACTTTCGTTCTAAATCCGAGTTCTTGGTCAGAAATGAGTTGGTTTCTGAATGCCTCTATAGCCATATTTATTGGTATTCGTGTATATAAACTGACAATGTCAAAACCAACCACTTTTTTCTTTATTATCTAATTTTAAATTATCTAATCTGTGTTTTAGTTTGACTTTACCGTATTTTTTTTTCAACTTTTTCAGGTTTCATCTTCCGAACAGTATTCATTGTGATCTGTCAAAATTAATAATTTCCGATTCTGCTTTTGCTACTACTATTACTACTGCAGACAGAAACGATGTACTTCCCTCCGTCGACTCTTCTCATTTATCCCTAGAAAACTGGGAAATGATTGATTATCCAAGTGGAAATCGTAGCCGACCACAAATTATCCCAGAATTTTTAGCCTTTCTTATGAATGAAAAATTATGGCGTCAGGCAACACAGGCTAGACAACAACTCTTAACCAGTAGGAAATCGAGTCAAGGCACGCTGAATGATTCAGTCACCAGTAGCCTACCCTGTTCACCTGGTCTCCTGATTGTATTCGGCAGTGATGAACACTTAGCCTGGCATTTAGCCTATTGGCTTATAGAACACGATATTGATCGTGTATGCATTCTGTTCAGTGCTGTTGACGGTGTGGCAAACTTTTTAAATTCATGTTGTCAATAATAACTCAGTGAATGGTAAGTGAGTGAGTGAATTCATTCCTCTAACATTGTTGGCGTCACCATCATGATCGTCATCACAGTACGTTTTCTTTTTACACTAAGGGGAATGAATACCCTGACAAAAGCATTCATTATCTACTGACTGTACACCTATCTCACTACTATAATATTATGTGTTAATTTTATTTCTTCACAAACACTGTGATAATTTGCAAACACCACTGACTGGGCTAATTTAAAATTACAATACGCCCTGCCCCAGCCCGTCATTTCATCATTTATTTCTGAAGATAATTAAATTTCTCTTCTCTCTCTCTCGATAACTTTCACCGAAGGTGGCGTTTTCTTATTTTCTCTCAAAAAATTTTGTTATATTTAACTTTCCAATTATGTACTCTTGTTCGCCTTAATTAAAATAAAATATTTCATGAAAAATTCTCATTCGAACATTAATAAACAAAAGATCAGTAGTTCAGCGAAGAGTCTCTTTCTTTTATCGGTGAATTCATTTTCATAACTGTTACACTTACTTAACCTTAGACCTTCACCTAAAGCCTTTAACGATACCGAACAATTTGCCTACAAACATAGTAGAAGTGCTCTAGATGCAGCTGCAGTCTTGCATCATAACATTTCGTCTCCAGTTTAGACAAAGGAGGTAAATTTGTTCACTGCACCTTCCTTCCTACATTACACATCTGCTTTCGACTCAGTAACTGGGAATATTTCGTTTGTTAAGTAAGCTTGATGAAAGTGAAACTGAGTGTTGGTTGGATAGCCGAATGGCTGCATTCTTATTTCTCAGGAAGAAAGCAGTACACTGTATACCACATTCAGACATAATGTTTATGAGCTAGGTACGCCAAACAAAGTAATACAAATGTATTTATTGTGAAGTTGTTCTGCAAGTAATCTCGATGAGAGAATAATACCTTAACAGTATGCATGTTCCATAGATTGTCTTGAAATTCGCGTATAATCCTGTAATCCTGGAAAACACATGAGGTCTATTCGTGCATACGGTGTTTGTCACTCAGGTCTCATAAACTGTCAGTGTCCAGCTCTCGCTACGCTGGACCTCCCGCAGTCACTCGAAGATTTCAGAATACTTTACTCTCACGCCAACATATAACCTACAATGATGTTATTACACAAGGTCTAGGAATAAATATTATAAGAATAAATCACGGTAATACTTCTGATAGATTTTATTCTTCATCTGAAAAGCGAACAATGACTGACGGATTGATGACCAACTAAAAATATGGAGGAGTTGGGTTTGAGCAAACAACCATGAATTCATCGTTCAATCTTCAACTACATTTACACTCCCCGTCAAAAGAGGAATCCATCCCTTTTTTCCATCACGACCAATACACGTTGACTTGTGCGCCATTGCGAGAACCTGGGTCACACGAACAAAGCTGAAATGGAAAATAAACAGAAAAGCCAACACACCACAGGCATACCCACAGCACAATCACACTCATCGATGACGACCTACTCCTTCCAGTTAAAGGCATCCCCTTGACATCTTGCAACACAATCGTCACTTGCTAGAGTGACTCTTGCAGAACGCAGTGTGACCATAGCAGCACTTCATGATACTCTTCGCACATCCTCTTATCTATTCACTACCAATTGCCACTGCGATCGCTTGTCACTCATTCTGTCTCAGTTCTAGTAACGGTGACGTATGCAAGCCTCAGTCGTCTACACTCCCGCTCGCCGGCGTGTGGGACCACAGCTAATCCTTATCTCCGTGTGGATGTCATTCTCAGCAATAGCCTCCCCGGCGTATACGACCCATCTGCTGTCTTTAACATCAATCAATTCATTCGCGGATTTAGAAGACTCGAAACAACTTCAGAAGTAATCACGACGAAAATTTTAACAAAATTATGCAATACAACAAAGTAAGAAAACAACAAGTAAACACGGTGAATACAAAAACACCAATTGATATTTTAACAACAGAAGACAAGGACCAGGCAACAGATCGTTTATTAAGGAAATCAGCGCGTATTTATATATATTTCGTGTACATTATTATAGCTAATTCAAGCAGATAAACACAGTCCTCTGATTGGTTGTTTCTTGCTCGAGGTTATTCTGTATTGCTTGTGACTGGTTTCTCAGAAAGTTAAGCCATATATCTGCTAGTCGTATTCGCCCACGTTAAGTCTGTTGTGATTGTTCGTTGAATCAGTCTTGTTCATATTTTCTCATGGCCAATATTAGCGACATCGACAATGACGTAAATTAATGTCAGTTGGTTAGCAGCCTGCTATCACCACAATATGACACACCATACATATATACAAACAGTATGCATAACCTCGCAGATCATGTCTTGCTGGAATCCCTTTGAAGAATCGCAGGACTTAAACCATTACGCCTGCAACTCTTCTCAGGCTGACGATTGTAATTTGAAGAATATCCGGACACAAACAAGATTAACCAACAATTACAATAATTGGAACCCACTCAACTACTTAACACAAACATATATACAATCAATACATCACATGTTGTGGATTCTCCCTTGACGAGCTACCCATGAAGAATAGTAGGACTTACTGTAGTACGCCTACATTCCTTCTCATGTTGATGATACAAGTGGAAGACGTCCGGATACAAACAAAATTATCAACAGATAGATGAAAGATGATACCAATTCAGTATATACAACATGAACAAATGGACGAATCACACACCAAGTAAGATGGACTGAGCTTCGACGTACTACCCTTGAAGAATTGTAGGACTTACAGCATTACACCTACAACCCTTCTCAGGTTGACGCCCTAGGTTGGAAAATCGTCGCAGAGTTCATTTGATGACCTCCTTCTATCATCTATATTCTCAACTCTGAATGGCAACACGCTCATGTCATTGTATCGTATAATATAGATGACTAACAAACATACGACGTATCTGACCATCCAAGCTTGGGTACATAGTAATTTACACCGAAGTTAATAACATTCATATAGTAATTTGAAACTTGAAATGCCTTTATTCGTGCAAGTCAGTTTAACGATTACCCTCTCGTATACACTTGGCTTATCCTTACTAAACTGAGCAATATCTTTCCTCATTTCAAACGAGCTGATACTAGCATAGTCAAAGCATAAGACACCTGAGTTCACGGACTTCCCTTCCATTGTAGATGGCAACACCAACGACGACTGAGTAATACAAGTTGATGAAATTAGCGGTGCATCAGAAGCTGTTGTTTTTCCGCTTTTAGAAGTTTGTCTAACGGCAAGATTACCACCACTTCTGTCTCTTGTTATTAGATCCAGTTTAGCATCATCTGTTGATAGGTTGGCTACACGCTGAGGATTTACACTGATGGTCACACAAGTATCAATACCTTCTCCAACTGCATCTGCCTTTAATTCTACTTCACATTTAAGTTGTACAGAACCTTTGTTCAACTCAGTAGTAGTAGGCATTCTCCTCATCTCATCATGATCAACCAAAGTCAAAAGTGCACTATCATGATCATTATCACGAATATTCACTTTACCGTCGTCTATCGGGTCGGCTTCATCATTTTCAAACTCTTTAATAACAGCAGTAGATGATTTGAGTTCTTCCTCATAAATTCTTACAGGTTCTATACCCTTACTCTGACTAGTAATGCCTTGTCAACTTGTGGAGTCAGAACTAAACTCTGAAACTGTAACTCTCTTCTCCTGCACAAATTGCAGTATCGTCTGTGAGAATCTATTCAACAATGGCTTACTGCTTGCAACTACAGGCCTCTTCACTGCACCATTATCGTCACACAATTCGTAGTCAGACCTTGATGATGCTGGTTTCACATTTAGCTTACTACTAAACTTGCTCACTGCTTCACAGTTCGCCTTTGTATGCATTTCTTGCAAACGTGTAAAACACAACCGTGTTTGTCTCGCAACTTGTAACCTATCTGTTGGGGATGTCCCACGAAAGCTGTCACGCTCACTAAGTTTATATTGACTACTAGACAACATAAAGCTTTATCGATATCCGCTTCTCTGAGATTCTTTGGTCATAAATTACTGCGTTTTGCTCTATTCTAAGGGTAGGATGCAATATAATGGCAAATTTGCTCATAGATTGATTGACACCGAGGTTCAAATTTAGGCCTATCATCCCTAGACTGCGAAACATGAGCAACAGATTCATCATGCTGAGCATCATACATATCATTACATGTAACAGACAAGTCAATATTGCCTAGTTTCCTGCTTGCTTCCCTACTTTGACGCAGGCATCACTGAACTTGACCGAAAATTCCAGATAATACTTGTCCAAAGAAGACTGGCAGGCACCAGGAAAGACGAACGGAAACTAACAAGCACTATCAGAAATAGTCAGTGAAGTCTCATAAACTGTAAGTGTCCAGCTCTCGCTACGCTGGACATTCCGCTGTCACTCGAAGGTTTCAGAATACTTTACTCTCACGCCAACATATAACCTACAATGATGTTATTACACAAGGTCTAGGAATAAATATTATAAGAATAAATCACGGTAATACTTCTGATAGATTTTATTCTTCATCTGAAAAGCGAACGATGACTGACGGATTGATGACCAGCTAAAAATATGGAGGAGTTGGGTTTGAGCAAACAACCATAAATTGATCGTTCAAACTTCAACTATATTGACAGCGTGAATATGAAAGACAGCAATGGACTAGAAATACTTTTATTTGCATGGGAATTTCTTTTTTTTCTTCACATTCCCAGTGGAATATAGGGCTTCAAGCAAGTTGCTTTTAGTTTCTGTAGCAGTGTTTATTTACACAGGAAGGAGTTGCTAGCCTCATGACCAACCTCCCCTCCTTATTCAACTTGTTACTGGCTTAGCGAGGTAAAAAAGTGCGTCGGCCGGGGACCGAACGCCGGACCATGTACATGGTGGACGAGCAGCATAACCGCTACGCTACGGACGGAGGGCCCCAGTGGCTTAACGGTGTACAAGCTCGCCCCGTAACAGGAAGGACGTGGGCTCGAACCCCGGTGACTGCATGGGAATTTTACTCAGTATTATTAGAATCAATGTATCCACTCTGTATATTAATTAATATGTAAAATTATCTTTGATAACTGCATGTTGTGCTTAATATTTTAGGTATATGGAGGTTATCAAATATGAAATCAGTGAAATGTCAATCAGTCGAACTAACGCTAATACCCGTCCGTCATCAGTATTTTCATTTGTAAAGTGATGAAATGTTTAATATACTCTTAATTTCGACTTCTTCTGAACTTCGATGCGTCGCTATACTATGAGCTTTTGTAATGAGTGAATTCGAATTAACGTATGTTAAGCCTAGTAAGTGGAATGGAGATTCACTATAGTATTATGAGACTGTTACTTTAGTCATTCGTAAGATTCCGTGTATGTTTCTATACAATAGCACATTGTAAAAACTAAGTAGGATTTAGAAAGTTGAATAATTAATTCTGTACTGTTCGATACGCTAAAGTCGCCTTGTCTAGCCAGTTGTAAGTCTGTATACTGCTAAACGCCAAGTCTGTACTGAATGTAAGAAGCCTTGTAACTTAGGGCCGATAGCCACTTCAATAATCTGTTGATATGCAGTGACATCGTCAAACAGAGTGTTTACCTGACAATGAGGCAAGAAAATCTTTTTATCTATTTCCAATATGCCGTTGAATCATGTGATGTTATCTAATAGCCAACACTCTTATGATCAACAACTGCAGTATTTGCGTGTCTACTTTATGGATACTAAATAACTTACGCCTTTATGCATCTAATTACAACAAGTATTACAAAAGTATTCCCCATTCATTTGATATGTGCACCCTAAACAAGTCTCTTTGATACATTCTCTGACAAATGCTAAGCTTTCTAGTATCACAAGTGTCAATGACACCAGCTTCCCTGGTTTCAATACAAATGATGTTGTATAATGTCTCCAGTCACTGAACACTTCTTGTAGCCTAGGACCAGATTGTTTTCCTAGCGTTTTTCTAAACAATGTGCAGATATCCTGTTATCCCTTCGTTGACATATTTAATATGAATCTTTTTTTCCAGATATGTCGTGCCAGCCGTTTGGTAGGACATTGAAATTTTGCGTATACCTAGGTCATCTACTGGAACATGCATTAAATTTAGACCTATTGCTATTACCTCTCCTTTTCTAAAAACTATGGAAAAGTTACTCTTACTTAACCTTAGACCTTCACCTAAAGCCTTTAACGATACCGAACAATTTGCCTACAAACATAGTAGAAGTGCTCTAGATGCAGCTGCAGTCTTGCATCATAACATTTCGTCTCCAGTTTAGACAAAGGAGGTAAATTTGTTCACTGCACCTTCCTTCCTACATTACACATCTGCTTTCGACTCAGTAACTGGGAATATTTCGTTTGTTAAGTAAGCTTGATGAAAGTGAAACTGAGTGTTGGTTGGATAGCCGAATGGCTGCATTCTTATTTCTCA